CTGAGAGTGTGCTTCATGCTGAGTTCTCTTGCTGGACAGAAAAGAACCTGAATAAATCGCCTCTGATTTTTCCTGATCCCTTCCCGCTTCCTCCCCCACAACTTCATTCCCAGTCAGGAGAACCTTTACATTGAGTCTTTTAGATGTCTCCTGCTGATCTCATATCTAAGTGATGTCTTGATGTGTCTCTTCTACTTCTAAGATTTGGAGAATTTCTCTACGAGAACATCTCCCTTTAGACTGAGGGAATGTAAGGTATCAGAACCTCACCTACCTAGTGCCCAGATGGTGTTGTTAGGTGCTCCACATCCATGATAACTCATAGTGACCCCATGTGACCGAGTAGAACTACCCTCTAGGGTTTGCTAGGCGGTAATCTTTACTGGAACAGATCGCTAGGAGTTGATGATGAGGTTCAAATGGTCACCATTTGGTTAGCAGTTGAGTGCTTAACCATTGCACCACCAGGGCTCCTTTCAGTGCCACAGTAGATGGAGGTGATGATGGCTCAGCGGTTGAATTCTTAACTCCCCCATGGGAGGCACAGATGTAGTCCCGAGTCCCTGTGCACCTCGTGCACAGCCACCCCTTGCCCGACAGTAGTGAATCAGTTTCAACAGAGCTTTCAGATAAATAGACCAGGAATAAAGGTCTGGCGATGTAATTCCACTAAACCAACGAATGAAAACCCTCTGATCACACCTGATCCTGTTTTGCATCGAGTCAGGGGAGGGCTCTGTGGCAGCCAGGAAAACAAAACCCAGCGGGGTGTGGCTCCCTAACTGATGGCCAATCTCTGTGACGGGCTTTGTGGCACATACAGACGATAATGAGCAGTGTGCAGACACAGAAAAAAGGTTCAAAACATAGGGCGAAGTGAAACGGAACAAGACACCAATGTGTACATGGACTGTGTCCCAATCCTCTAAAATAAAACACATTGAAAACCGTTGCTATCGTCAAGTACCCTCCAGCCGGCATGGGCTCTTGTGATCCTATGCCCCACAAAATGAAACACCACCAGGTTTTGCACCAACCTCACCATTGCTGTGTTGGAGCCCATTGTTGCAACCGCGGTGTCAACACATCTCACAGAAGGTCTTCCTCGTTTTTTACTGGCACTCCACTTGATGATGTCTTCTTCCAGGGATTGGTCTCCTGCTAACATGTCCAAAATAGGGAAAAGGAAGTCACGCCAGCCTTACTTCCAAGGGCCATGCTGGCTGTACTGCCTTGAAGACAGACTTGATGGTCTTTCTGGAAATCCGTGATACTCTCCGCATTCTCTGACGACCCCACGACACAAACGTATCTGCTTTCTGTTGCTCCTGATTCCTTGTCCAGCTTTCACATGCAGGGCACTGGGGAAATCTGCTGCACAAGATCTCCGGAAAGTGTTAAAGAGCAAAACTGTCACATCCCCCCAGGGCAATGCATCTGTATTAGTCTGGGTACTTTGGAGAAACAAATGCACAGACTCATGTGTAAGAGAGTTTTATATAAAAGTTAAGTGAGCATCAAGAAAACATCCCAACCCAGTGCTGCCCAAGCCCACAAGTCCAACATTAACCCATGTATCCAGCACCAATCCACAGTCCTTCTCCATCTCACAAAGCAGATGCAATGATGCTGACTGCAGGAGGAAAGTCCAGCCAGTGAACGTGTAAGCATTTCAGCGCTGGCAGGGGTCTCCACAAGGCTGCTCCAGCACCCAGGGCTGCATCAGGGTAGGTCTATGTGGCTTTTCCTTGGGGATGTCTTGCAGGAAGTGAGCCTTGCCAGGTGAAGCTGGGAACTGCTAAGGCCAGCTGCACCCTGGTCTGACCATCAAAAGCAAGAGACCCGAGAACTTCAAAGGTGAAGCTCACCAAGCCATTTATCCCTCCGCCCTTCAATTAATCCCACATGTGTTTATCACCAGGTTGGCACAATCAACTAACTAACTCAGCATCCTTTGAGGTCTTCACTGCTGCTTCCATGAGCATTGACCATGGATCGACATAAAGTTATATTGTGATAACTTTACTCTTTTCTCTGTTGATCATGTTAGCCACTGCTCTGGCTGTGAGGATTTGGGTTCTCTTTACGTTGTTAGACCCCCTACTTCGAGTTGTAGATTTTGATCTTCATCAGCAAGTGCCTCCATTCCTCTTAGCTTTCAGCAAGCAAGTTGTGTCACTTGCTTATGAACCTTCTTCCAATCCTCATGCAGTGAGACGCCTCATAAAGTCTACCTTCTGGGATTATTTGCTTAGCATGTAGATTAAATAAGCACTGTGAAAAGACACCTCTGTAACCTTTCCTGATGTTAATCCATGCAGTATGGACAACAACCTCTTGGTCTATATACGGGTTTCCCAGTAAGTGTTTTTAGTAAGTGTTCTAAAATTTCTATTCTTCTCAATGTCCGTCACAGTTTGGTACATCATGCTTCTCTGTTTTCTATGGCGTGCGTGTTTTCAGAATACATTTTTATACTAACATCAGATTCAGAAGTGCCAGGAACATGATGTATATCTGACTCAACCTTCCTCCCTAATGTCCAAGCTCCTTCTATGGATCCCATCCCCCGCAAGAAAAAGGGTTACATGCATGGTCTAAAGGCATCAGTGTCGGTTAGTTCACAAAACAAAGCACACTTGGAACAGTTGTGCTGATGATGAAGAGCTCTGTGTTTCTCCACATGATGTTTCCCCCTTGATCTTAGGAGCCGAACACGATCATCCAGAATTTTGAAGACCGCTGCCCTGTGGTTCCCCAGACCCTCTTTCTGTCCAGAGACCCAGTTTGAACTTCCCTCGGCATCCAAATTATCCTAATCTAAGTACTCGCGCAGTCTCTTGCAGCATCTTAATTTGGTAGAAAGCCCCTATCCGAAATGTAGTATATCAGGTAATGTGTTGCATACAATCAAGGTTCAGTAATTGCCATTGACTGACTCCGTGGTTAGCGTGCTGTTCCACCACCGCCATCACCCCGCCCCCTTTCACGCTGCATTGCTAAATCGTCAGGTCCAAAGGGCTCCGACACTGACATTTCTTCCAGCTTTTTAAAAGGGCAGCTCATGTTAGAAAAACTCCTGGGTTTGGAAGGTGAGTCAGACGTAAGGGCTATGTTTTCTCAGTTTGACGAAGAAGTTCAAGAGCAGGGGCAGTGAGCCGTGCACACCCGGAGACAGCTTCTTTCTCCACGCATCCCCCACAGCTCAGGTCCGCGGACAGACAGGCGCTCCCCAGGAGGATTTGTGAGGCCTGCGCACTGGGAGGGGCCGGAGCCCACAGCCAGGTGTGGGGCGGGCTCCAAGCAGCTGGTTTTACTGACAGCTCCTGGTGGAGACTTGAGATCCGCTGGCAGACACAGCGGCGCCACAAGCTGTCTAGCCCACCGCCATCGACCCCGCCCTACGCACTGGTCTCCCGAGCAAATCAGAAGGTCAAAGAATCAGGCGTGGGAGTCAGAACATCTCCTAAAGCGCTGTTACCCAAGTTCTCTAGCGGTTCCGCCGATCTGCTGTACCTACCTGCGCCGCCTGCTCAGCACCATGGACAGCGCCCGCCCCGCCGGTCCCGGGCGCCTGGACGCCGCTGGCTTCTGGCAAGTGTGGCAGCGCTTCGACGCGGACGGTGAGTAGAACAAGCCACCTGCACATCCAAATTCAGGTGTACACGCAGCTCCTGGCCGGCCTGTTCCTCCGGAGGACATAGAGTGTCCCCTTCCTGCACGTTTCCAGTTGAAGGGAAAGTCGTCTACCTGTGCGGTCACTGCAGTATTTCTAGCGTCCTTTGAGCTGGTCCGTCACATACATGTAGATACCGTATGTAAATTGAGGACGAGAGGGGAACTTGCCGCCCTCCTCAAGCTCATTGAATGTGTGCGTATGTAGGATAGCTATTCAGAAATCCACGAAGCAGTCTTATTATCTTTTAATTAAGGTTTCCCACTAACTTCTGAAGTGCTCTTGTGTGTGTATGTGTATAGAATGGAACTTTTTATGAGGCTTAAAAAATCCTGTATATATATCTCGAATATATATCTTCAAATACACACACAGATATACATATCTGTGCACATATAATCATATATTAAGGGGGTTTCAAGAGATTTATGGGCATTTTGAATGAAAAGGTAATGGAATTTTCCCACAAGCTTTCTCTATCTACCTGTTAGCAATGTATCCATCTGCATATAAATATACAGCTATAGATACATTTTATAGTCTTGTAGACTGATACTCGGTCACCCGAACCTTAAATAGGCTCATTTTCATTCAGTGACTTTGTTACAAATGCCTAATTCTTTCAAAAGGAGGGTAAATATTATTAACCTTCAAAAAGACACTCTCCTGAGAAAAGAAAATCTACTTGAAAAGACTATTAATATCAATATTTACTTTTCTTTTCGTAAGGATTAAGTAAAGAAGCACAAAAGACATCTGAAAGATTTTAACTCTGCAAACTAGAATGCAATAGGTGTATTCAGTTATGACCCCCCCCCCGCCCCCCAAATCCAGCATCCCAAATCCTTGGGTTGGAGTTTATTCTAAAACTTAAGACTATTCATGGATTAAAATTCATGCATTCAATATATATTATTTATGAACTACAACTCAGTATAAAGCATTTACGGTGGGCCTTGCATTGACTGATAGAATCTATGCAGCTGTTGGTACTGCTTATTGGGATATAGCAAAGAACTGTGTTCATGGAGATTTTATAAATTGCAAAATGAAAGAATGAGATAAATACCAAAATGGCCCATGCTATTCTACATACGTGACTACTATTTATGCACATCTTCTTGCCCTTAGAAAAAGGCTACATAGACGAGAAGGAGCTGGATGCTTTTTTCCGCCACATGTTGACGAAGCAGGGTACTGACGTAAGTACTTGCCCCATTGAGCATGCACTGAAGTGTCTCCTAGTGAGATACAGCAAGCGGCTATGTCCTATGTTGATTTGCACCTATTAACTCCATCTGACCTCTTATCATCCTTTCATACGTGTACTTGTTCTTCCTCTCTTAGCAACCCGGTGAAGGCAGACTTTATCAAAGGTGCAACTGAAGCATTTGATGAGCTGGTCACTGCACTTCCATCTAACATCTGTCAACCTCTCAGAGACCGCAACTGGAGGTTTAAGCAACACTTCTTTGCACAGCCACACAGTGGTGTCTCTACTGATGCCTTTAAACCTGGTCAGAAAGGTTTTAAAAATTGCTAAGAGCTCTGAAGTTCCAGGTGTGAGGTGCATGTGATACTTTTTTGATAGCAAAAAATTTTTTTTCATTTTATTGAAATATTTTATTCATTTTATTGAAAGAGGTTACACATTTCTTAGAGAATGATAAGCCAGAGAGGAACAACATCTGTCTCAGAGCTTGGTCTCTCACCTGTCTCTCTCCATCTCTCTGTCTTTTTTTCCTGCCTCTGGGTCACAAATCTCTGTACCCCTCCTTTTCTGGCATCCTTCATGTCTCTCCCACTCTT